CCGTCCCCTCCTTCCCCGCAGCGGCCAGGCCGGGCACTCGCACCCCGGCGGGGTTACCGGGAGGGGGGGGTGGCGGCAGGAGGACCTCCCGGAGCAGGTCTCCATCACTCCCCGCCGCTGCTCCCGCGGTGCTGGCGGCACGTCTCTCCTCGGAGAGCAAGTTGGCTTACCGGGGCACAACGCAGAAGGGCTGGAGGGGCAACCGGCTGCCTCGCTGCCCGCTCTCTGCCCCTCCATCGCCCCGTAGCCTGGTCTCCGTCCCCGTCCTCTGCCCAGCCCTGGAGGGAGCCCTTTAGAGCTCTGCGAGATTTGGGGGCCCGGGGAGCAGCCGCAGGAGGTTCTGGCAGCGGCGGGTCTGCTCACCCTCGGTGGAAGCGCACGGTAGCGTTGGCTGAAGGGCACGGGGAGAAACGTTGTCTCGGGTTTTCTTAGAGGGGGAAGGAAGCAGGAGGCAGCTTTTCTTCTGGCCTCTGCAGTGACTGTTCGGGCAGAGGGCTGGAGCTACAGCATCTCTGTTGGTGGAGAGGGTCCTGGGGAGCAGCAGGCCGGGGCAGGCAGCTGGTTTGGCTCTCTTGGCTGAGCAAATACCTCCCCGTCCGAGGAGTGCTGGCCCTGGGACCTCAGAAACGCAGCGGTCGGGTGGTTGCCCCTGCTCTCCGGTGTCAGGACACGACCACTGACTGACCAGGCTTTTGTGCCAAGCTAGAAGACTGCAGAAACAGAGGCCTTGCTTTTATGGGGTCTCTTTGTATGGGAAGCCTGCTCTCCTTTGACTTCATGGCTGATGAGCGCTGTCTTGGGGTGCTCTCCGTGGCTGGAGACCACAAGGAGGGAGGATAGTTCTGGAGTGATTCAGCAACATGTGGATATTCGGGTGCTTTTGCTCAGTCTCTAGGCTGATGCAGGTAACTTGCCCCTAGGACAGGGCTCCACTGCAATGAGCCTCAGGGAGCTTCTGCCCCTTTTCAGGATGGACGAGCTGAAGGGATGAGCTGTGTTTAAGGATGGGAGGCGGGAGGGGCCTCTGCAACAGATTTGGGATGCCTGTGTGCTAGCGTGTTGTACCGGGAGGTGCTGGTTTGGTACAAGTTCACTGCTATGGGGCTCGTTAATGACTCAGTGGACAACAGCCTTGTGGTTACAGTCGCTACAGCAGCAACCACCTCTGTGGAATCTCTCCCCTCTGCACCCCAAGTTTCTCCCCTGATCCGTGAGCATCTGCTGGCAATACTTTATTCAGCATGGCAGTGAGTAAGAATTTTAGGGTGGAAAGATCTGAGTTTCCTTCCTGAGGACTGATTCATGAATCAGTCAAATAGATGCAAATAGCATCTAATTCAGAGCGGACCAGGAGCTGGCAGGCGTAATAGTCACCTGCTCTCTTGGCTTGACGGTCTAGGATCCAAATGGAGTTGCTCCTTAGCATCTTGGGTAGCTAGGGTGGTCCTTTATGCGTTCTGCCGGATAAGGTCAGCTCAGTGAGGGTGGCAACAGAATCTCTTTGCCCTTCCAGTCCATCTGGTGGCCATCTGCCCTTGCTCTCATCAGCATCAGGCTGGGTCTCTGTACATGGAATGGCATGTGAAAATCAAGGCACAAAGAAGACTGGAGGTCTGCTGGGGAGACTCATCTGGGTTCTGGTCTTACTTTGCTGCATTTCAGGCTCAACCCCTCAAAAAAACCTGAACAGCCATGCTGGAGTCTCAGTGCTGCCTTCTGTATTTTCTCAGGTGCCCCCGAACCCTTAAGCAAGATGACCTGGTAGAATTGGTAGACTTGAGAGGCTTCACCCTTTCTGCCTGGCCTTTTAGACTGGCTGCAAACCACGCTGCCTTCTCTAAAGGATGTGACTCCTCAGGAAAAGGAATTCGAGCTGAAATTCCCAGGGTCCAGGACCTGCTGGCCTTGGCTGGCCCCCAGGATACCAAACTCAAGGCCATTATGTCATATGTTCCTCATAGCTCAGTTTCCATGTATGTGGCCTGTGCTGCTGCCTGCCAGAAGATGTGAGGGAATTCTCTTAATTGTTTTCTGGCTTGAAAACAGGCTCCCACTGCTCCACAGTGTGAAGCACTGAGCTTGTTCAGAAGAGAAAATGCAGATCTGCTTAAGTGGTCCAGTATGTCCACATTGCCAACCCACACGACAACTGAGGCTGGTAGGAAGCTTTGTAAACTATCCGTGAACGTGGCATGGGTCATGCAGAAAGGGATGAGGCCGGGGTGCAGGTGGTGAGCTCCTGGTTCAGAGAGTCACTCATGAGCAGCGCTTCACCGGACATCAGCAGCAGCATTGTTCCCTGGCTTATCTGTCTGTAAAAGATCCGCTCGCCCGTTTGCAGCCTGCAGACCCCAGCGCTTTTTCCTTCTTTCCTAGCCTACTGCTGGAGCCCCTAGGCCACGCTGCCTCGTGTCATGGAGTCAACGGTCCCTTTAGAAGCCAAGTGGTAGCTCATGCCGGGTCTCATCAGATCCATCGCTCTCGTCTGACGTCAGGGCACTGCTGAGCAGGGACAACCCGTTCTGAACTGGCCCACTGCCACCTACTCGAGACACCATCACCTTGCACAGCGGACAGGTAAAGGGCATAATCCCTCTTTGAATAGCTGCTGGCCAAGGATGTTGCAGGGAGGGAGCTCCTGGGCAAGTCCAGGAACCAGGAATATGGAGATCCTCTGACACGGGCTGCCTCCAGGGACCTGGCTGCTCTCATCTTGTCCATTTACCTGTCTGGAAAATGAGTTGGGAACAGGGATGTCTGTCGTGGGGGAGGCTAGAGGGAGATCAGGAATACCACAGTGATGGATAATGCAGCTGAAGCTGTTAACTGTCACTCTGCTGCCTGGAGAGGAGACTTGCTTGATGCCTGCGTTAGAGGTTTGGCACTGCCTGTGCCATAAAACAGCACTGGATGTGACAGTAGCTCCTCTCCTGTGTCCACTGGGGGACACTGGGAAAGGGGAATTAGGACATGACCCACATTTCCAAGCCTTGGCAAAGGGCTCCTTTCGCTTAGATTTTGGTGTGCTTTGTGCTGGACTGTAAGAGCTGCTGTCTAATCCCAGTGCAGCCAGAGACCTGCACATTTTGCTGAGCATCTCAAGGCATGAATTAGTTTCCATTTCTTGTTTCTCCCTAAGCTGGGAATTCAGCACTTCCAAACCTATTTGGGTCCTGACCCTTACAACCAATTACTTAAAGTGACCCAAATGTTAGCACAGATGCTTCTCAATCCCCCAACCATGGAGTGCTTCTTGGAGCTGCTGTGATCCTCTCTGTGCAAAATCCTGAAGGCAAAAGCTGAATTTGAAGATGTCAGCAGGAAGAGTTGCTGCCTGGGCAAAGTGTGCATGAGGGAAGGAGAAGATTGTGCACCCAGATAGGCACTACGCAGGCTGGATACCCCTTATCTCTTTCAGGTGTGGGAATGTCCTGGTGCGGGCACCGAGCTCTGCCTTGTGCTCTCTCTCTCAACTAAAGCACTTCTAAGCGTGAGCTGGGGTGTCTGAGAGCAACTTTGAGCTGAGTTTCCAAACAAAGCTCTCCAGGAGTAATGGGGAGAGAAGCTTTAATTAGAAAAGACCTCCAGCCTTCTGTGTGCACCAGAGCCAATTGATTACAACCCACTGAGTTGCTGAAAGACACCGACTAGGTCAATGTGCTGAATGCCCTTCTTGCCTGAAGCCAGCACTGTCTCTGTGCCGTAGAGCTGGCAACTGTGTGCAGTTTTTTTTCCCCGTCCTCCCCACCCCCTTGCCGAGGCTCCACATCCTCTCTGGCAGCTTGTCACTTCTCTGCAGATGTCTAGACAGGAGGATTCAGTGCGTGTCAGTTATGCCTAATTCATTAAAAAAACCCAAACCCTACTGAGAGCTGGGGATTCTCAGTCCTGCAGACTCAGCGCTGTCTGCGGTGCCCTGTGCTGCCTTGAGGCTAGCTCAGAGCAGATTAATTCCACGGATCGGCAGGAGCAGCGCACACCTCGCCCTCCCAGCCGTAGCAGGGGGGCTTGGGGAATGGAAGGCAGATGTGTGGTCAGGGCAGCTGCTGGGAGCAGAAGAGAGAGGAGGGGAGGTGGAGGAGAGTTGGGGGCTGAGGTGCGTGCTCCTCACCTCTTCTTGCAGCTCACCCCCCTCCCCAGGCGTGTGTTCTGGGGTGCTCACCTCCACCGTGTCCATCGGGAGCTGGCAAAGGGATGCAACGTGTCCGAGTACTGGATCTGGCTGTCTGAAACTGCCAGCTTCCTAATTCTATCATCCCTCCTGCCACCTCTGAAGGCAGAGCTGGCGCCAGGAATGACAGCTCCCCCTTGTCACGTTAAGTCACATTTCTGTCAACGTTTGCAGTCCTGACCTCTGTATAGGTATAGCTGTAAATCAGCCGCCACAGTGGCGATGACTGGACCTGCAGTTCAGAGCATCTCGTTCAGTGGCTGGTCCTGAGCTGTGAGGTCCCTCTGCATCATCACAATTGCTGGCTCTCCTAGGCTGAACACGCAATTAACCTTATATTAAAAACACTGAATTTGAGCTGCTGCACACTGTTGGTGTCTGTTTGAATTCCCTGGATGCCAGTAAAGTGTTACAGGGGCTGAGAAGAGACTGAACCCCAAAGTGTTGTAGTGAGGGAACAGTGTTTTCTGTCTGTATCAGTGATGCCAATGGGACAGGTCCTGGTGGGGACAGTTGCCTAGATTTAGTGTCTGCTTTGCATCTGAGTCCTGGGCATATACAACTGGATGATTTCTAATCCTCTTTGGTTGTGTTTATTGTGGGGAAGGTAGGAATGCAATCTATTTTGTAATGGGCAGTGCCAGACTCTCCGAAAGAAGCAAATATTTGGGATATCTAAGTATAAGGGCAGGTAGTATAGATCTGCTGTAGCCTGTGAAAACAGCCCTGGTGTCTTAGTCGTACCTACTGCAAGAGGGTTACTGATGCAAAAATAACTGCTAGTTCCTGGTGGTTTAAAGCTTCTCTTTAGATGTGGGTTTTGGAGCCACGGTCAGGGTTCAACAAAAGGGGCAGCTCAGCCAAATTAACGGGGTCTCTGCAAAGCGATGAGGAAGATGAAAATTTGCAGGCCCGCGGTGTACTCAGCAGCATCTCTGGATGCTGGTATGAGCTGTGTTAGCGATCTTACGTTGCAACAGCACAACAGCCCTTATTGTTACTGCCGGCTCAGCTGTTTGTGTCCCTTGACTGTTGAAGGGAAGGAAGAGAGCACAGGAGCACATTTTGTTCCCAACCCTGCTCCCAGGAAGAAAGAAGCTACTTGCATTGTGCATGCAGCTGAGCAGGGGCTTGCCTGGGCCCCCTTGGCTTGGCCTGCCCTGGTCTGGTCCTGCCCTGAGCTTTAAATGTGTATTGCACGTTTTCAGTTCTTTGGGGGAATGCTGAATTGCAGGAGGCTGCTTACTGGCAAATGGGTTAAAAATGACAATTGCGATTTCTGATGTGGGGGACATGGAGATGCACTAGGAAGCAGCGGTTCCTACGCTGTCAGGCTTCTTCTTCCCCAGGGTTGCTCTGCCCCGGGATGAGTTTTGCTGTTGTAGAGAACACTGCTTTGGCTCCGCCGCTCGGAATGGAGATGTGGAGCTGCTGGGCACAGGAGAGTAGCACTGCCAGCAGCCCCTTCCTGCCAGAGGAGGTCTGCAGACAAAAAGGGGAACTTTGTGCCTGGGAGACAGACCCCCAGCGCTGAGGACAGCGGAAAGTGCTTCCCTGAAAGGGAAACTGGCAACGTGGTGCCACCTTATCGACCTAATTTGTGCTGCCCTCTGCTCTGTGAGTGCTGTGAAACACTGGGGTAGAGGTGGGTGCCATCGAGGACTTAATGTCTTATCCTGAAGGTCTAATGGCAGCACTTCTGTGGGAGATGCAGTGCTGTGCCCAAAACAGGGCTTTGTGGCTGATTTATTGGAAAAAAGGTACTGAGATATCAACATAGGGATAGGGCACGCGTGGAGGAGATGGATGTAAGCGTGGCTGTGTGTCAGGCCTTAGGGCATGTCATGCCTTAGAGTAGGGGATGTCACCTTATCCACAGCAAAGACTCGTCCCCATCATCTGACCAGCTGTACAGGATGTGTCTTTGCGCTCTCCTGGCTAGCCCGGCGGACACAAAATCTCCATCCAGGCTGTCAACAAAAAGCCATTCTCCAGGGCCTTCCTGGGGAAAGGGCAGGCTCTGAACTTTTCCCTGGAGGATACTCTGTTCCCTGTTTATTGCCCAGCATGCTTCTTTTCACTGTCGGCAAAATATGTTTTTTTGTGCAAAGAGAACAGACCTCCCTTTGGGCAGGGATCATTTGCATTAATTAACAGAGCTGTTATGCATGGCCACGCTCTGTCTCATGGGAGCCAAACAAACGCCGCCTTTTTTTTTTTGTCATAACCTAAGAGTTATTACAAGTCAGCCACCGCATCCATTATAGCTGATGCGTAACACGTGCATTCGTGCTGCTGCCCGCTCCACAAAAGTGGGCTTGTATTTACTTCCCGCCGCTGGAGCTCTGGACACTGCTTTACTGTCTCTTGTGGTCCAGGCACTGTTCCCCATTAATTATATCTTAGCGGTGCTCATAGACCTTCATTTCCTGGGAATGAAGTTTTACAAGGAAATATTTAGTGCTGCCAGTGAGAGTTCAGGCACAGGGAGCAGCACAAGCAGCAGTAGGGTGTCCTTTCCCTTTTTCCCCACTGATTATGTTCTGACTCATTTAGGCAAAAGAGCTCTGGTGGGAACAAGTTATTACAGAGCTGGGGGGGGGAAATGGGCTGTACCCCCTACAAGCCTTGGGCCAGACCCGTGCCAGCGCTCCCTGCGCTTCAGGACGGCGACCTTTTCCCAAGGTGGGTGGGTGAGCTGCTCCTCGGGGGAGGGATTGCTGCGGCTGTAGCTTGGCTGAGGTGAAAAACCATCAGGCAGAGTTGGTTGAGGCTGCCTGTGGACTGTCCCCTGGCACGGGGATGCTCCTGGGAGCCCAGTGGCAGTGTGGTGGCTGGGATGGCATCTCCCCCAGCCCCGGTCACTGCTCGCCCACGTCAGAGACCCAGTGACACAGTGGTGGTGCAGGAGGCACCGGTGGCTCTTTGGAGCTCTGTGAGGTCATGTCAGCCCTGTGTGGGTAGAGAGGGGAGTGAGCAATAGCTGGTCTCTACCTTCTGGCCATGGGAATCATTGCAAGGAAAGATAATGTCACCCTTGTCACTCTGTATCTGTACTTGCCCAGAGCCGTGCAATGACTCAGTGGCAGGGCTGGGAAGAGAGCCCAGCACTTCTGACCCTCGTTGGAAATGTGTTTGATTACTGTGATGCCAATGCATCGGCCACAGCAACCTTCAGTCTGTTGTGCCCTCCGTGCCTCTCCCCTGACCGTCGCAGCCGAGCTGTGTGCTACCCTCCCCCTGGCAAACCTTTCCTCACAGGGCTCCAAGATCACAAGGAGCAGCAGTCCCATCTTTTCCCTGCCTTGTCCCCTGGGTCCTCCCATGGCTGCAGAGCCAGGAGCTCCTACCCCCTGCTACCTGCACCCAGGAGGGGCGAAGCGAGTGCTCACAATTAGAGCAGGGGCATGACCTAACTACTGATGGAGAGAAGCTCAGCAGTGTATTGAAAAGATAAACCAGCTCAAGCAGAGCAGGAAAACCCTCAGGCTTGCAGCTAGGGAGGGGAATAAAGGTGAGGAAGCACTGTTTGCTCTCTGCCACTAAACCAGGTCTGGGAAAGGAGCTCTTGAACCCAGGTAGGGATGCTAATAATTATAAACCACCTTCTTGCAGGCACCTCTCATCCAGCAGTGTCCACGCTTGCGAATGACCACACCGAGGGTGTCCTAGGGATGTTGCAGCTTTGTGAAAAGCTCAGCTGAGGGGTGTGGAAGGAGAAGGCCCGTTAACTCATGGGGTCTTCTTTCTTGTCAAGGGCACAGTGGCATCCTACTCCCATTACTGGAAAGCATCAACGGGCATTGCCTTTGTTGTACGCCCGAGAGTCTTCCCCGCTGACAGCGAGATGAGGAATCGCACATCACGCGGGATGATGCAAATAGAAGAGGGCATTGCAGGCTTCTCTCCTGCTCGGGAAAGATGTTTATTCATCTTTTTTCCTCCCCCAGACTCTAGTACATGATACAACTGCTATTTAAAAGCGCATAGAAGGCTGCATTCGTGGCTGAGCAGGCACAGCATGGTGGGTTTCTATTTTTAGGCTCAGCACGGCTGGCGACGTGTAGGTGTCGTGAGGAGCAGAGAGGCTGAGGGGATTCTCTCGCCGCAGGGATGCGGGGGCAGGCGCACGAGTGCAGCACACGGGCTTTTTTTTTCGTCAAGCTGCCTTTTTCTCCAGCTCCCTCCCCCTTCTTCCTCCTGCTGCTCAGTCACTCTCTCTTCACTCCCCCGCCTTTTCTTCAGGTGCTGATGGCAGGGAGACAGTCAAACGTGTTTTGAAACACCATGAGCAGCCTAGGTGCAGGCAGCATGGAAAGAGAAAAACCTCTTCACACAAATAAATGCCTTTATGCCTTGATGAGGCAATTTTTTGTTTTCTATGAGCTGACCAGGTCTATTTATACTCTAGCTCCGTGCCTGGGCTGTCCCAGTGTGTGGAAGAGCTCAGTGGCATATATGTGTGTGTGCAGACTGAGTTCTGTGTCGGGTCCCAACATCTCTGGTCTTTGCTCTCTGTCTCTCCTGACAGCCTTGTCAAAGCAAAACTGCCTGAAGTTCAAAGTTACCTCTTGAAGGACAGCCAGGGTCTCAGCCAGGGCTGCTTCCAGGGAGATCTAGGAGCTCTGCTCTGCCCGGACTGCCTGCTAGGCTAGCGCAGGATGGGATCTGCGGTGCTGGAACGGGACAGGTTGGTGCAGCCTTGAGGCTGTGGTGAGGTTGGATGTGCCTGGGTAGAGGACGCTAGAGGGAATTGGAGATCTGGATGATAAAGTGAGTGTTCCCTAACCAACCACCTGGGAATCCCCAGCCTCTCTGAAAAGAGGCCTGAAATAAAACGGCAGGAAGAGTCGAACCCCTGGTCTGTACCAGGGCTGTGGAGCTCTGTGCTGCAATTGCCTTTGCCCTCTGCCTTATCCTCCTGAATTGTGTGGGCACGGGAAAGACAGCAGCTCTCTTAACTTTTGTAGAGCTAAAGAGCTTAACTTTTGAAGGCAGGTGCATTCGTTACAAATCTCCTAGCATCTTCTGGAAGCTGGAAGGGAACAGCCACCACTCAAAGAGCTGTGGCCTATAAGGTCACTCTTGCCTTTTAGGATGTGGGCAAGAGTGATGTTACGAGATTCCCTGGTTATTTTTTGTTTAGGCTAAGCAGGATTGAAATGTTCCCTGTCTCTAGTGGTATATTTAAGCTGTGTTTGATCAGTGCAGGACTGGCACGCTCTGGTGAGACTTCTGAGATCAATGCTTCTGCTGATATTTCATGGAAATGCACCTTGTTAGGCAGATTTGGAGATGGTGCAACTTCCAGGTAACCCAATGTGAGTGCATGTGTTGTAGAACAGTGCCCTTCTGAGGGAAGGTAAGGAGGACATCGATCCAAAGATGAACACGGCTGGGAAGCAGTGAGTGTCACAGAACAGAGAAGAGTCTCAGCGTGGCTTTGTATTACTTCCGTTCCTCCAGGGACTGTCTCCTCCCTGTTGCTGCTTTATGAGCAGGATGATGTTTCCCTGGCAGGGGCTGGTTAGGCAGGAGCTGTTCTTGTGCAGGGTCTTTGAGCGGTGGTGGACATACTTGGGGACCATGGGAATTGTCTGGGGCTAGAGCTCTTCCTGCCTGGGTAATACTTTGATTTTCCCCCATCTCAGTGCTGGTGAGAAGGCAAAGCCCAGCATCTACCACCTGCAGCCATGGAAGGGGGTGTGCAGCTCCTCAACCGCGACGGCCACAGCATCTCCCACAACTCCAAGCGACACTACCACGACGCCTTCGTGTGCATGAACCGCATGCGTCAGCGTGGGCTGCTCTGCGACATCGTGCTCCACGTGGGCACCAAGGAGATCAAGGCTCACAAAGTGGTGCTGGCCTCGTGCAGCCCGTACTTCCACGCCATGTTCACAAGCAAGTAGCCTCCTCTCTTCCCCATGGCCAGGGTCTCCCTGCTCTTCAAACCCTCTCCTCTCTGCAAACCTTTCTGTCCTGCTCCCTATTTCCACTGCCCTTACCCTATGGAAACGCAGTGCCTATATATCATGTCTGTGAGCACGCACAGTAATATTCCTCATTTGACTCCCTTCCACGAAGCCCCTAACCCCCTGCACAGGGATCTCGATGTCCATCCTGCAGACATGGACCCCATTTCCATGCTGCTCCTCCTTGCTAAGAGGTGGGCCAGAGACCTTCCTGGGCTGTGGAGGTGGAAGCAGCTTGTTCCATGCATGGTCCAAGTCTTCCTGTGGGGAAACAATCCTGCTGTGGGACTCTGTTCATGTCTAGTATCTGTGTTGCCCCAGATGAGATGAGTGAGAGCCGCCAGACCCACGTGACGCTGCACGACATTGACCCGCAGGCCCTGGAGCAGCTGGTGCAATACGCTTACACGGCTGAGATTGTGGTGGGCGAGGGGAATGTGCAGGTAGGAGCTTCCCCCCAAATCTCTCTTCTCCACAAAGCCATTCTGTATGAGACTTGCTTCCTGGGGACCCTCCTCTCCTTCTGCTCAATGCTTTCAGCTGTTGTTCTGTGGTGGCACCTGCATCTAGCAGTGGTCAGGGAGTTCCTCCGCTCCCCTGCACCCAGAGGTGGCTCCTCAAAGCGCTACGCAATGGCCAGGTCTAGTGCTGAGCATCTGTCATTCTCCTGCCATTTCCTGGCCCTGTGGGGAGTTACAAGTGTCCTTCTCAGCTGTTCTGTACCTTAGTCCTGTTAGAAACAAAGAATGCTTTGTCCTTTATGTGCTTGTGTGCCTGAAGGTGCTCAGTAAGCTTGTTCTGTTATTGACTTGCAGTGAGATGAGGGTGAAAATGGTTTCCTTGCCCTGGAAAGTCTCCTTTCCCCCATTCTTTTCCACTGCCAGACACTTCTTCCTGCTGCCAGCCTGCTTCAGCTCAATGGTGTGCGGGATGCTTGCTGCAAATTCCTCCTCAGCCAGCTCGACCCATCCAACTGCCTGGGGATCCGGGGTTTTGCTGACACACACTCCTGCAGCGACCTCCTCAAGTCTGCACACAAGTATGTCCTCCAACACTTCGTGGAGGTGTCCAAGACAGAGGAGTTCATGTTGCTGCCTCTTAAGCAGGTGAGGTCCTGATGGGAGTGTGGAGGGGTATGAGTGTGGCAAGGCTTGCGTGCTCTGTGCTGGATGGCACAGCCTACGTGTCAGAAACCCAAGGAACCTGCACTGAAGAGAGGGGGTTTGGCAGGGGAGTGTACCCAGGTTCTGTGTTTTGGTCCTCTCTGCTCGATGGAGAGACAATATGTTGGAAGAGTGCTGTCAGCGCTTAATCCCATGTGAAATAAGGAGGGGAGGGTAGCACAGAGCTGTGGCTGGTGCTTGTCATGTGAGCTCAGGGCACAGTGCCCTCTCTCTGGGGTCCAAGGAATAACTCCTGGCTGCCCTGGTCTTGTAGCTGTGATGTTTAATTCAGAGCTCAGCTCTGAACATTTCCTGCTGCTCTTCATGTGGTGCCAGTATGGCCCCTGGCTCATCACGGTCTGCAGGGTGCTGTGCTGTGCTCTGGTCCTCGCTCTGCATCACCCAGCCCTGTGTGGTCCCTCACCAGGATACAGACACCGCCCTTGGTCCGTCCTCGGGCAGTGGGGTGTGTGGGACAAGGGGGGAGTACGTGTCTGCCCCCGCTCCAGCTCCGTAGTCCTTGGCACGTGAAGTGAGCGTGCTGGGAACAGCCAGGGCAGCTGGCTCTGTCCCATGAAATATTGAAGGGAGGCATGCAAGCAGAGTCGTCCGCCTGATCTCACTGACGTTGATTGGAAGTGTCAGGCATTGCAGCAGCTTCAGGCACAGCGCGGGGGGGAACGAGCCAAGGAGGGTGATGGAGGGCAGAGCTGCTCCGCACCAGTGCTGCAAGGAGAGGAGAGGCACAGCTGCACCTCTCTGGTTTGGAGGACTCAGCTGCTCTTTGGATCCTTCTGTGTTCAGTGAGGGAGACCGTACACCCCTCAACTGCCAGCATCTGCGGGAGGCAGGGGCTCTGCCTCTGGCAGTGCTGCTCTGCTCGGCCTCTTACCTGGGTGTGTGAATGTGTCTTTTCCTCCCAAACCACACCACCCGACACTTGCCCTTTCTGCCCCACTCTACAGGTGCTGGACCTCATTTCTAGTGACAGCCTCAATGTGCCATCAGAGGAGGAGGTGTACCGGGCTGTGCTCAGCTGGGTCAAACATGATGTGGACAGCAGAAGGCAGCACGTCCCCAGGGTGAGCCTGCTTCTACCTGCCAGCCCTGAGGGCCTGCAATGGGTGGATACATGGCTGAAAGGTGGCCAGAGGGCAGGGACAGCACATCCCTGCCATACCACTCCCAGTCCAGGCATAGATGAGGGTGTTTCTGAGAAAGTTCAGTCCCCCAAAATCCAAACTAGTGACAAATCTGAGGGGGATGCTGTCTGACCCCTGGCAGCTTGGGCATGCAGAGCTTTGGGGAGGATGTGGGCAGAAGGAGAGATCAGCCCTGCCTGCAGCCTTCCTGAGCTTCCACCTCCATCCTCAAACAAACAGCTCGGGCAGATTTGAGCAGGGACTTCTTTTTAGCTCATGCTTTTGTCTCTCTGCCTCTGTACATTGGAGCACGGCTCTGCGAGCCTCCTGCCTGCAACTGGGGACACAGTTAAGTCCTTTCCTGTAGGGCTGCCAGTGCCTGGCACAGCGTGGGCACCCTCTCGTGGGTGCAGTAGAGGCTGTTGGTGCCTCCAGCAGCCCCAGCTTCCTGCCATCTCGCCGCAATCCTGCTTCCAGGCAGGCAGCCGTGGGAGGAAGCATCCCTGGGTGTCCTCCCGAAGGCTGGGGCGGGGTGAGGAAGACTCTGAGGGTTTCCCCTGGGTTTTCACCTACCCCAGGGCTTGACCCTAGAGAAGTTCTGTCTCCTCCTTTGCTGGTTGTGCGCGCTCAAACGCCCCTCCTGTGGGCAAGGCCGGTAACATGGGGCATGCGGGACTGGTGTCTGGGCTCTGCAGCCCCACAGTGAGGGCTGTTACTTGTAGCATGAGTGCTGGAAGAGGATGTGGGTGCTGGCAGAGGGCAGGGTGGGGATCTGGGGTGGCTGTGGGATGTGTCACAGCCAGGCGGAGGGCTCCTGAATCTGCAGAGGCATCTCCAGTGGAGTCAGGCTTGCCAGGGGTTTGTAGGGGAGAAGTGGGGGCAGCGCTGGGACAAACCCTTCCCACCCTGCCGATGGGGTGTGACTCCCCCCCCCGCTCAGCTTATGAAGTGCGTGCGGCTGCCCCTGCTGAGCCGGGACTTCCTCATGAGCAACGTGGACACGGAGCTGCTGGTGCGGCATCACTCGGAGTGCAAGGACCTGCTGATCGAAGCCCTCAAGTACCACCTCATGCCGGAGCAGAGAGGGGTCCTCAGCAACAGCAGGACGAGGCCGCGGCGCTGCGAGGGGGCCAGCACCGTGCTCTTTGCTGTGGGTAAGGCCCTGCCACACGCTCGCGCACATGCCAAGCCCTTCCCAGGGCCTTTGCACTGGTGTTTGCTCTCCTTTGCCATCCCCTGCGCAGGTGGGGGAAGCCTGTTCGCCATCCATGGGGACTGCGAGGCCTACGACACGCGGACGGACCGGTGGCACATGGTGGCCTCCATGTCGACGCGCAGGGCCAGGGTGGGCGTTGCTGCCATCGGGAACAAGCTGTATGCTGTGGGCGGGTAAGGAGGCCGTGGGGGCCGTGCGTGGGGATGCCTTCGGCAGCCTCTGGCGGGGAGAGCGGCACAGAGCTGCTCTGGGGGAAGCAATCCGGTATCTCTGGGTTACTAACTGCAGGAGTAACAACTGAAAACTGCTTCCCTGCCCCTGCAGTTCAGAGCAGTGAGTTTGCTGGCTCTCAGTTTGGCGGTGGCTATGTCCTGGACTTGTGCTGGTTTTCCCATTTTCCTTAGCCCTGTGCTGCAGGCTGTTAGGAGCCTGCTAGCCCCCCAGCCCACCTCTCACCCCTCGGTGTGTGTGGCCCTCTGAGACCTGCTTTCATTGCAGCCCCCCACTTCCCCGGAGAGCTCGGCTAAGGGCTCTGTGCTTTCAGCAGTGCTTTGGTGCACTCTGCCTTGGGGAAGCTGGGCAGGGGGGAGAGGGGACGGGTGGTGACAGGGACAGGCAGGCTGCGCTCTCCGGGCTCTTGATGGGCTCCAGAGCCGTAGGACCAGTTCACAGCCTCACCTGCAATCCAGATTTCCCAGCTCTTAACATGTTCTCCCAGCTCTTAACTTGTTCTCCCCGCTCTTATGTGTTCTCCCCTTTTCTCCCTACAGCTATGATGGGACCTCTGATTTGGCCACAGTGGAGTCCTATGATCCTGTCACTAATTCTTGGCAACCTGAGGTGTCCATGGGCACCAGGAGGAGCTGCCTGGGTGTAGCAGCACTTCATGGGCTTCTCTATGCTGCTGGGGGGTACGATGGGGCCTCGTGCCTGAACAGGTAGGGGATTGCCTTGCTATAGGCTTCTCCGCTGCTCTTGCATGCACTGTCCTGGGTGCCGGCTGCCTGGGGAGCCCACAAGGCTCCTGACAGATGGACTGGCCCCAGAGTAGATGTCTTGCAGTCCAGCTCTGTCTTCTGGTGTCTTTGGCCCCATGCAAAGTTCCTCCAGAGGAAAAGCCATTTTGTAGCCCCCTGCCACAACAGAACACAGCCTTTGTCTGTTCCTCCCTCCATTTTCCTTGTCTATTCCCAAGCTTCCTTGGGAGCTGCCCCTGGGGGCCTGTGTCAAAGAACTTTGACCTGGGCTTTGCCAGTGTCACACCTTATGTTCCTGTGTCCCTGCCTGCTGCAGCGCAGAGCGGTACGACCCTCTGACAGGCACCTGGACATCCATCGCTGCCATGAGCACCAGGAGACGCTACGTCCGGGTGGCAACGCTAGGTGGGTGATGGCGTGAGGACCTGACTCGTGTGCAGACTGTCTCTTGCATTTCTGGTGGTTCCTTTTGATGTTCTTCTGTTCTAGTTCCTGCCTCTTCTTCCTAGATTCCCTAGCTGTGAGTCCGGGTAGCCCAGCCATTCCTCTGCCATGTCCTGACATGCTCCCTGCCTCTGCCCTCCTCCTCAGTCTCCCTGGTAATTGGGTTGCATCACATTCTGGAAGCAACTCCTGAAGGGACCCACAACTTGTTCCTCAGCTTCTTTGTGCCCCTTTTACTCCAGGGCAAGAGGGCTGGCTGTGGATCATCACCTATCCCTAGAAAGGACGAGACAACCTTATTACCCTATTATGAAAGCAGAACAGTCCTTTTACCAGTGATCCAAGCAGGGTCAAATCTGTCTCTACCAGGGGTGTCAGAACATGAAGTGCAATGCTGTGATGCCTCCTGACCCCTTGGAATGAGTTCTGTGCTTAAGGAGGATGCGGTGTGAGAACTGGCCACTTCATTGTTTAGTGCAGCTATGGGGTTAATGCAGAGTGGTAACTCTCTGCCCTGGCAGGTGCTGGAGCTCCCTGGGGGTGCCAGGGTCCCCACTGTCCCAGGAACTGCTGTGCAGCGTCCAGGTGTCCCTGTGGTGCCTCTCCCCTGCCTTGTTCTCTGGTTTTGGCTCTCGGTGCTGACTCAGAGATTCCCTCCCCTCCATCACCAGCTCACACTCTCTGCCTGTCACAGCCTTTACTGGCATTCCCCTGCTCCAGCCTCCGCTGCGAAAAATAACCCTCTGCTCTGGCGGGGAGCACTTGCAGCTCCCTTAATGAGGAGGTCAAGAAGTGGCAGACGAATGAGCTCTTTGGGAAGCTTGCAGCGTGGCAGAGAAATCGCCTGATGAATATTTCAGGATGCTGCGGGCTGCAAGGGGAGGGGGAGCCCTGCTGTGAGAGGAGCTTGGCTGCCTGGGGAGCGGGAGGCAACTGCGGCTCAGCTGCTGCCTCTGTGGGCACCCTGTGGGAGGCTGTGCTGGGACTGTGGCCGTGCCCTTGAGCTAACTCCTGTGCCTGTGTGACTGTCTTTGCAGAAGGCAACCTCTATGCTGTTGGGGGATATGACAGCTCATCCCACTTAGCCACAGTAGAAAAGTATGAGCCCCAGGTAAATACAGAAGAGAACATGCCTGATAACTCTTTTCCTTCTCCCTGCCTTGTGGGTGCCTGAAAGGGCCCTGCAGAAAGCTGAGGGCTACCCAAGTTGCTGGAGAATCTAGCAGACAGTGAGAGATTCTGGGTTGACATAGCACTTAGGGATATGGTGTAGTTGAGAACTGTCACTAGGTTAATGGTTGGACTGGATGATCTGCAAGGTCTTTTCCAACCGAGATGATTCTATGATTCTGAGAGATCAGGTACACGGGGTCTCTTAGCAAACTGCTGCCACAGCTGAAGATGTGACGGCTTCCTAGCAAGCAGCAGTGGAGCAGAAGGTGTGCCCATGTGAGCCTGCGTGGCACAGACCTGCCTGCCTCCTTGGAGACTTAAGCCACCGTGTGTGACTATGAGATGGAGAGGGTATCATCCCCCTTCCCAGCTCTTCTGCAGGGGCAGAGCGTCCGGGATGCAGGGACAGAGTATCCAGCAGGTAATCCAGAGCAAAATGAGCCAAAGCTCATCCATGCAGGCTCTGAGATATATCTGAGATTTTCAGCCACCGCTCTAATCCCCCTTGCCTGTAGGCCAGCTCAAGTTCTCTAGGAGGAACAGCTCTTGTACCTGCCCAGAGCTGTTTGCAGCTCCCAGCTGAGGTCCTTGCTGCGTGCACATCCAGAGCGGTTAGCGGGGACTGTGGCAGGCTGGGGACATGTGTTGGCCCTGGGGTCTCACAGCTCTGTTAGAACAGGCTAGATCGCTGCAAAAAAGATCAAAGAGAAGGTCCTGGAGGTTTTTCATGAGCTGTAAAGCCACAGCTGTGACTTTTACGGATTTGAAATAGATACAGCTCCACGCCCACGACTGGGCCGGGATTCAGCTGTGACGTGGCTGGTGGCCTGGCGCAGAGATCCCTGAGCTCTGGGATGGCAGGACTCCTGCCAGCTGTGGCCGGGCTTTCCCGAGCCAGTCAGCAGAGGTCCCTCCTGGGGCCTGCAGCAATACCCACGGGACAGTTAATGAAAGAAGCGGGGTCCCCCCAGGAAGTCTTTTTGGGGGAGGACCGTTATGTCAGGAGCTGTGTGGCTAGCGCAGGACTAATCTCACAGGGCTGGTTTGTCAGGGATACGTGGAAAATGACTTGTACCTCTGGCTCAGGAACAAACATTGCCTCTTCCCAGATCAACACCTGGACGCCCATTGCCAATATGCTGAGCCGCCGGAGCAGTGCAGGAGTGGCTGTGCTGGAGGGGATGCTCTACGTGGCGGGTGGCAATGATGGGACCAGCTGCCTTAACTCCGTTGAGCGCTACAACCCCAAAACCAATACGTGGGAGAGCGTGGCGCCCATGAACATCCGTAGGTAAGGAGCTCTGCCCCCCGCCACGCTCCCGAGCTGCAGGGGAGCCTCAGCTGCTGCAGCCGTGGGGATCCCACCTCACCGAGAGCCTTGCCTTGCTTGGCACTGCAAACCGTAAAACACAGACCGTGCCCCAGGGCTTGGCTAACGCTGCAGTCGGCTGGCTCTGTGCTGCCTGCACTGCGAGGGACTGGGGCGTGTGTGCCAGGAGGGCAGAGCAGGGACATTCTGCAGCGGGTACTTTCTGCAGAGGGATTTATTCTCAGCAGTCTGTGGCTGTAAAGAACCGGGTCGTAATGCTGGCTGAGGCCATGCAGGAGATGTTGCTCAGCTGTGGGAGGATTTAAGGCTTGGAAGTCCAAGGATTTTGGGCTCCTAGGGCCTGTTATTTAGAGGTGGCGCTTCTCCAGGGGGAGGAGGACATCAGAGTGAAGGGGAAGATCGGAGGCTCCAGTATTTCATTTTCACTGGACATTTGTGAGGCTAGGCACTCCCTTCTGTGGGGTGGCAGAGCTCTGGCCAGTTCCTCTGAGGTCCTGAGCTCCCCTACACCCCACACACTCCGTGTTCGAGCCTCACACCCCTGTGATCTCCTCTGCGTGGTCGTTCCAGGAGCACCCACGACCTGGTGGCCATGGATGGGTGGTTATACGCGGTGGGCGGCAACGATGGGAGCTCCAGCCTCAACTCCATCGAGAAGTACAACCCCCGCACCAACAAGTGGGTAGCAGCCTCGTGCATGTTCACGCGCCGGAGCAGCGTGGGGGTGGCTGTGCTGGAACTCCTCAACTTCCCACCCCCCTCCTCGCCCACTTTGTCGGTGTCTTCGACGAGCCTTTGACAAAGAATCAGGACCTACCTTACCTCAAGGGGACAGGGGTGCTTGGCAGAGCACTAGGCCAGCATGGCCCACCCCGCGGGGCAGCCGGTCGCTGTAGGAGGAGAGCGAAGGTACCGGCTGCTGCCTCCAGCCCCAGCACTCCTGTGAACCCCCGGAGCAATCCCCACTCTTGGTGCACACATCGGATCAGCACGACCACAGCAGTTAGAAATGTGCTTCCTGGACGAGCACCCTCCTAATAGAGGGCGAGGAGAGGGGGTGCTCTCCACTCCGTTCAGACTCATCTCACCACTCGCCCAAAGAGTGTATATTTTCTTTGGGTGGGGGGGGAACTTTAAACCATTGCTGCTTCTTGGATTCCCGTGATCCAGCCGGTGCCACACATACGAGCACAGCCAGCCTTGGAGGCTTCCAGGGGCCCTGTGGGGTGGCAGAGGTGGACAGCACTCCTCCCAGGGACACGGCTGAATGTGCAACCGCTCCTCTGAATGTCACTGTAGCCAAACTCTTTACCAAGCCTATTGTGCACTGTTAAAGACTCTGAGGCCACTGTATGGTTCTCAATGGTGTCTAATTGATGCCTTAAAATACACAAACAAAAGAAGCCCAGCTAAGGGACAGGGCCTGGAGGAGGTGAGGTTTGGGGACAAAACTGGATGCAGCATCCTGAGCCCTCCAGCGTTTCCATACTGTCACTGAGATCCCAGCTGGCCATTGCTCTGGGGAGCCCCCAGCCAGGCGGATGGGTTGAATGACCTTGTCTGCACCCGTGCCATCGCTGTCCCGGGTTCAAGTGACTGTGCGGCTGCCTGCTCTCCGCACGCGGTCCTGGTTCACAGTTTGGCTGGGAACGGATCAGCCTGTTTGCTCTTCCCCTCTCTGCAAAGCAGATTCTGGGTTTATGGAAAGGTATCGGTTCTTAAAGAAGAACAGTCCAGCCTTCTAAATGAGGAGGATTGCCTGGCATTACTTTTTTGGGTGTTAATTTTCTGCCGTTTTTTTTTATTTGAATGCTAATATTTTAATTTTTAATGACTTCATATCCCTTTATTTTTTACACTCTCTTGGTATTCCCCAACCCATCTGCTTTTAAAGGCCGCAGAAGGGATGCAATTACTTTTCTCATTTGTTGATGAGATGATGACTGTGTCCTGGAAGATGTTCTCTATAGATATGTGGGGGTGTGTGCGTGTGTGAGATACACTGTATGTGCAGTGAAAACAGCATGGAAGGGACCATTTGCAATTAGCGACTCCCTGGCAATTAAGCAACCACTTGAATTAACTAAAGGTTGAATAAATTAGTACTGTAAGTCACAGGCCTGTCCTAGACCCACCTGTGCCATGGAACCTCTTGGATGATGTTTTCAGTGCGTATGCTGTAGGGTGTGTGTATGAGCCTTGAACTGAGACATATTATCAGGTGTTCTCCACATTATAGAGGAATGACTCAACCACTGGTACCTCAATAGTGTTCAAATGTAGCATTGGAAATATGGTCTAACTGTTTGTTTTGAACTAATTCCTTTTTCCCCCTGCTCCTGCTCGTTTCTCATTTACAGAGTTCGGATTTCACTTGTGATGGTATTTGTTGGCCTACATTTTCGAGTGGTTAGGGATTTCTTTTCTCTTTTTTCCTTTGGGGTGAAAGGAGAGTTTGAGACAAGACAGGGGCTCCCCAACTTAAGACAGTTTTTATGGTGATCTGATTTCTCCTGGATAGGTGCCTGCATGTTTTACAAGCCCATTTACAGTGCCTAATGTTGGACACCTGAAATTACCAGCAGCTTCTGAAAATCTGGGCTGCTTCTCCCCCCAGCCTCTCCCCAAGGACAGTCTGGGCTTCTCAGGCTGAGGCGGCCTTTTTGGCTTTTCGAACAGACTCTAAATCTGCTTTTTGTTCCCCTCTCACTTGCCAAGCCTCTGCCCCAGCCTGTCACCGCTCAGCAGCTCTCCCATTCCTCCACTGCAGAGGATCCTGCAAATATTCAGGCTCTGCTCGTGCAGGTGCCTCTCAGTCAACGTGGCAGTAGGGCTGCCGTAAGTAGGTCACAGGAACGTGCTTTGTTTGAAGAAACGATGAAATTGGTGAAATCTGCTCTGTTGCATGCGTGTGCCTACGCACCAGCGAGGTCTCGATCCTTCCCATCCCATTCCTATAAGCAACATCAGGATTTTAGTCTTTTGCTGGACTCGCATTGTCCAGCGTGTTCAAGGTGCCCCTGGCTCCAGGGTCCTCTTTGGTGGAGGATCCGCCTAAAAGCCCCACGAAAGGCCGTGTCAGAAGTGAAAGGTGCTGGTGCTGCCGAGGCCTCCGCGTGAGGAAGGGTGGAAGGAGAGCAGAGCCCAGCCAGCCTGCTGAAGGGAGACAAGGACGGGCAGGGCTGGGCCGGAGGGGAACTGCTGAAGGGAGAAATAGGGCTGATTTCAAACAAGGAATGAGTTGTGACAGCAGTGGCTCAGCACTGGTCCAACTGTGGCCGCTGTAGCGTGAAGGGGGGCTGCTGCCTTAGGGGGGTGGCAGGCAAAACCAGAAGGGAAGCGAGCAGTGTAGCAGGCCAAGGAGAATTTTTGTGCCATGTGCCCTTGGCCCCAGTTGTAATCTTTAGCAATTTATACTACAAATGGTGTGCAATGCTGTCCTGCCTCTTGAGGATCAGGGAAACGGGCAGTGTGACTCCTGTCACCCACCGGCTGGGTCCTGAGCAATATCACCACTGAGCCTGTCCTGCAGAAACCTGGGGAGGAGGGAGCCTTTTGGGTCTCCGATGTACTAACTATGCAGGTGCTCACTGCTTTCCTGTAAAAGAGAAAGAAGGAAGGAAAGGGCAAAATAGCTCCCCAGCAGCTTGCGGGGGTCCAGAGCACCCCGACCCACACTGTGTGGACACGAGGTGTCAGCATCTGCCCTGGGAGATCCCAGGGTGGAATTGCTTCTGGTGCTGCACGTCCCTCGCTGAGGAGGAGGCCTCGGGGAGGGGAACGTGCGTCTGTGTCTGTCTGTCTGTGCGTAGTACCCTATCTGAGGGGAGGAGAACTGTCAACTCTGTGTGGCTTCTCTGCCAGTTTTAGTTAGTGGTGTCTCACCCAAAATGTTATTTGTGCGATTTCCCATGTGAGCTTTTCCCAGCGGAGGAGCACTCCTGAGCGGGTGGCTCCAGGCTGCGTGTGTTGATGTGTTTTGCCCAGGGACCCCGCTGTCGGTCTGCAGTGAGACGGCGAGGCCAGGCAGGAGCCCTTGCCCCGATGCGGGGGGAGAGGCTCACTTGGCCTTCCTGGCAGGCAGACCTGGTCTACTTCCATGTCAAACCGTCGTCACTTTGATTTCTCTGTAAGTTATCTGACTTATTTATGTGGAACTCTGTTTCTCTGAATTTTTTGCACTACATGGGATTGGGGAGGGGATACAAGCAATAGAAGCCAACATGTACAATAAAGACGTTTTCTTGAATACCGGATCCTGCCTCTTGCATCCTTCCTTTTCCCTTCTCTGGCCCCGCTCCTGTGGAGGCAGGTTGCTGCTCTCTGTGCTGCCCTGTGCAGGGGAGGGGAGGGAGCCCCCGGCAGGGGATGGACACGGCAGGCTGCTGCGCATCGCTGCCTGAGCAGTTGCTGCTGAGATCTCACCTGGGTGCAGCCACTCTGGGCTTCCAAGCATTTGCACAGAGCAGGGACAGAGACCCATCTGGAGGCTGCTTTGGCCTGGCCCTGCCATTGTGGACATTAGTAGAGGAGGGCAGAGGAGCTGAAGTCAGCTTTGAAGGAACTGCTGTGCTACAGGTGAGCTAAAAGGAGCTGCTGGCTGGTGCTGGGTGCCTGGCCAGGGTGTTGCTGTCCTGCAGACAAGGTACTTCGTGTTCCTGGAGAGGATGCCCGTGCTGGGGCTGTCCCCTGCCCTGTGTCCCTGCACCCTGCTCCGGAGAATGAGCAGGGAAAAGATGCTGATGGTGCTGGAGACCACTAGGAAAAGCCCAGCCCAAGGCAGAGGGGCTTTAGAGGCAGACTGATTTACACCTCTCTCCACTGTTAAATTCTACCTTGGTCTCCCTAGGACTCCCAACTTTGTAACAGAAATGAAAACCAGATGAGAAACATCCTCCTTTACCTCCAGCTGCCACATGCATCTTGGGTTGCCTGGGGGCCAGCATAGCTGGTTGGCCCCATCCAGCAGCAGGGGGGGTCTCTGCAGCCCATCCGATCTGCCTTCACTAGCTGCTGCCAGTCACGGCTGCCTCTGGGGGAAATATTAAGCCCATTTCACGGTGGTGGGAGCACAGGGGGTGAAAAAAAGCAATGAGAAGCTGCATGGCAACATCCCATGGGGCCTGAAAGGGAATTTTCCCATGCGTGTGTACTGCAAGCCCTGCAGTCAAGGCGCCATGCTGCGCCGCAGCCATGCCAGGCTGGGCTATGGCCCTGCCACGTCCTCTTTCTCACTCCTCTCTAGGCTCTTGCTTCTGTTTCAGGCTTCTATAAATAACTACCGTGCTGTAAAAGTCTTTCCAAAGTCTGAAGCTTGCTTCTCCACCCAGTTCAGGCCCTCCTGGAAGCGAAGCAATGGGGCAGCGGTTTGCCCTGCAAGCCCGTGTGCCCAGAACAGGCGGAGAGGGAGCAGATCTCAGCCAGCCGTGGTGGTGCCACTGGTGCCCCAGTGAGCAAGATGATGCATATTTCCCAGACCTGCAATAACAGCAGGAGAGAGGCTGTTATATCACTATTCGGAGCTGTAAGGTTTTATTTAGAACAAATGTTGGAGGAACAGCACATTTCTGGTCACAGTGCTGACCGTGTTAGCCATGGATCTTAAGAGGAATCATACTTCTGAATAAAACACAGTTGTTGCTGTTCACTGTAATTTTTGGTCTCTGCCAGGAGGTGCTGGGACGTGGCTTTGCTGTTGGATAGTTGTTTCACAGCTGTGCAGAGAGAACAGAGCATGCAGAAGCACCCTGCCATAAAAATTATGGAGTTTCTGATAGGGCCCCTCTGGAGGGGTGTCCTGTTGCTTTGTCTGGCCATGGAGGTTAATAGATTATATGACAGAAAGGGGAGTGGGATAAAGAGGCTGTTTTTAAAGGTCAAAGATGTGGAGGCCTTTGAGAAATTTTATGGCATGTCCATTATCAACAGCTCTCTCCGGACAAGTGTTGCCTGGCTATACAATTACCTCTTTGGGGATACGTTGATTTTGTTACTGCAAGGTGACTTCAGTTCCAAAACAAGGCAGATGCAGAGTCTAACACATCCAGTACGCCCATAAGACCTCACATAGCAAATCCCACTTTGACTGAAACAGATTTTCTAGGAAAACATACTCTCCTGGTTTTAAAAATCCTGTGTTGAAGAAGCCATCACAGTCCTCTGGGAGTCGTTCCGGTAAGAAATAACCTTTCCTACAGTTAAAACTGTACGCCTTGTTCCCAGGTTCAACGTCTCCAGCTTCACTTTCTCTGCATCTCTTCTTTTGCCAGCTGGTTGTCCCAGGTCTGTTCCCCACACAGGCACTTCCAGCCTCGCTGCATCCCTGTAGCCTCTCTGCTACCGTAGCAAGATGGAGCTGCTGGACTGTCACAGTCTGGAGACAAAACCTGCTCCCTGGAGCAGCCCACAGAAACGCTCTTCCCAGAGAACAGTCCCTGTTCGCAGCATTAACTCTCCCTGGCTGGGCAGTCTGTAATAGATTTGTGGATCTTAGAGTCTCTGTAGTGTTTCAGAGTCTTACTAGAAAGTTGCGTGGATGTGTGACATCACCTGCTTTATAGTAACTAAATCTGATTTTTTTTTTTTCAAATGTGGTAGCAATTAAATTAGTTTGACAAGATCTAATTTCCGTAACCCCAAGTTGATTTGAATTAATTCTATTCTCCTTTAATTCTTAAAGCTAATCAAACTCCCTAACAGCCGTTAAATCATTTTCCTAGGAATCAGTGTCAACTGATAAACCCGTAACTACTGGGCTGGTCTTCCCCCATTGAAATATCGGTATCTCCATTAACTTACACAATTTCTTTGCAAACTCCATGGTCCTGCGAGTCTTACTGCAAATTGTCTTTCAAGTATTTTAAATTCTTTTATATAAATTCTCTGGACCTTCCGATTCAGAGCAGCTAAGCTTTGTGTTTGCTTTTTAACAGCCACCTGCAGTCCCATGGAGTGAAAAGGGGTTTGTCATTTCCTATGACTAAACTGACTGATTTTTTCAGTCCATAGAACAGAAATATTTATTCTACACTTATCTTTTGTACTGCCATTAACTACTCACTACTATTATTTCCATTTCCACACAGTGGGGACTCATACCGCGGCCTTGAATCTTTGATTTGCCTCCTTTTGAAGCATTTCTCCTATAAATATCCCTTTAGCTTTGCTGGTGATACATATCTCCTTTTGGTCTTTGCTTCCTTTATCAATTCTCTGTAATTTCTAGATTTCAATATATACTAGCTTTCCCTTGTTTATTGCTTATATTTCTAGACTTTTTGTTTCACTTCGCCTCTAATCCGGGCTGGTTATTTTTAACTAACACCACTGGCCTGAATGCAGCCTACGCCTTGCAGAATGCCTAAGAAATAATCACCGATATTATCTTTTTGCTTCCTTTTTTTCTTCCAGCTGAACTGTGATTGATTTCCTTTTGGAAAAAACCAAACCAAACCAAACCAAACCAAACCAAACCAAACCAAAAAAAACAACAAACAAACAAAACGCTCCAGACACATTTATTAGGGGCTTCAGCTTCATCCTGTTTGCCGGTAAAAAATGTTCAAGTGTGCTGGGGTCGCTCCCTTGCATCTAAGAACCTCTGGGTTTTTAAATCCTGCGGTCAATTCCTCTTTATGGGGAAAATGAGGTCCAAGAGGGGGTTTGCCCACCTTGAGGGCACCGTTGGGAGAACTTGGGAGAACTCCCCAAGCTTGAAACCCTTCTCCTAAGGGGGGACTGGGAGAAGAGAGAGGTTGTCGGGGAGGCAGCAGGGGCTGGGGGATGAGGCTGCTGCCCTGCCTGCTCTGCCTGCGCTGCTCTGCCCTGCTCTGCTCTGCCCTGCTCTGCCCTGCCTGCCCTGCCTGCTCTGCCCTGCCTGCGCTGCCTGCTCTGCCCTGCTCTGCCCTGCCTGCGCTGCCTGCTCTGCCCTGCACTGCCCTGCCTGCTCTGCCCTGCCCTCGCTGCCTGCTCTGCCCTGCCTGCGCTGCCTGC